TCATATGGATAAGACCACTCGATCGGCTCGGCTCGGCTTGGTATAAGTGCTAGTTTTACAAAAACCGACACCTATAATTTATTATAGGGTTGGGTTTTAACAAAATCGACACCGGTTTGTTTAAAAAACGGACACCTATAGGTGTCAGTTTTTCTTTAAAACCGGCACCTATAATTGATAAAGGTGCCGGTTTTTTACGATTTCAACCCGCCGAAGTGGAAAAAGACCTATAAGTGCCGGTTTTAACACTTCCGGCACTTATAGTCCCGACGCCTATTTGATGTTTTGTAGTAGTGCTCAACGCTAAGAAAAATAGGAAAATTAAGCGACAGTAGGTCAAGAACAGCATACCATTTTCTTCCCAAAATTACAGTATCAATGCAGTAATTAATACTGAAAAAAATGGATCGAGCAACTCACATCTTTTTCAATAGGATAAGATAGATCGACCAGTCCTCCAAACAGAGGATTAAACCAGGTAAAAGTCCGAATTACACCCCTGAACTATCGAGTGGGTACAATTACCTCCTCGACCCGAAAACCAGATATCTTTCGCCCTTTCCCTAAGCGCGATTTTGATATGAGATTGCACACATGACGTCAACGTGACAATCCAGTCAACTAAAAAATACAGAAAAAAAAACATGGACCCACTTGTCATCTCTCCCTCAACATATCCCCTCCCCTAACGTCTCTCCCCTGCTCTCTCTCAGGGAGGTGTACACAGCGGCGGGGGAGCTCGCTGGGAGGCGTCCACGGCGACGACCGAATGGGAGTTCGCGAGGATGCATCACGGTGGCAGGGGAGACAGGAGGCGCTCGTGGTGGCGGGGGAGCTCGCTGGGAGGCGTCCATGGCGGCGGGGAACGGGAGCCCAATAGGTCCTCCGCCTCCGCCGCTCGAGTTCCGTCGCCCCGTCGCTGTGCAGCGGCGCGTCCGACGCTCGCCACTCCCAACTACCTCCGCCATCGACCGTCGCTTGTGCTCCATTACCCCATTGCTGCTTCCCCCTCCTGTCCCCGTCCCCGCCTACCACCTACTCCGCTCCCTCTCCGCCGTTGCCTCCGCCACCATCCCCGTCTGTCGCTACCGTCCACGGCTCCCCGTCCACCGGCTGCTCTGATTGAGAGAAGGAGAGAAGAGAGATGATTAGGGAAAGAGAAGGAGAGATAGAGGATGAGATTGACAGGTGAGGTCTATCAATTTAAAAAATGAATTGCTGATCGGACTGGCATATAGGACCAAAACCACTACGGTTTAAGTCAAGGACGTAATTCGTCCGGTATTAATAGTTGAGAGTGAAAAATATCTGGTTTTTAGGTCTGAGGGGTAATTCGTACTCACCTAATAGTTCAAGGGTGTAATTCGGACTTTTTTCATTAAACAATAATAAGTAAAAAACTATAGAATTCACACAAACCATAAACCAGTATCACGCTGAAAATCAAATCAGAACCTGCATCTCGTTTGCTTGATAAACAATTCAATTTCAACCCGAATAAAAAGTAATTTCTGGCCCAAGTCAGCCCAGCTAAAAAAATCATTTTCACCAACCTATAAACGTATAAGGTCATATGTAACCATATAAAACATTGTTTAATTACGAAGAAATTAACTAATCAGGTAATTAATTAACCTAGCTGGTTTTAATTTTAGCCGTCACCATGGCGGAGGACGACGGCGGCGTCGGCGGCGGCGACGAGTGGAGCGGCCTAGATCCCTTCTTCTACGACGAGGCGGCGGCGAGAGCGGACGGCGAGCGAGCGCTGGAGAGGCAGCGGGAGAAGGAATAAGTCCACTTTACCTCCCTCAACTCATGGCCGTGTATGAATATCATCCCTCAACCGCAAAACCGGGTATAACTCATCCCCCAACTCTAAACACCGTTGCAAATCAACTCCCCGGACGGTTTTGGAGGCGGTTTTGTCCTACGTGGCAATTGACTTGATTACGTGGCAGTTGATTTGCTGAGTCATCAAACGGGACCCACATGTCAGCAGTCTCCACCTCATCTCATCTCTTCCCCTCTTTCTCTTTCATATCTTCCTCCTCTCACCTTCTATCAGCAGGGCGGCGACGACGGCGCAAGGGGGACGAGCTCGTCGGTTGGCCACGCCGCGCGCGGGGAGTGGCCCAGCTCGAGCACGCAGAGGAGGCGGGAGGGCGCCGGGGCATCGTCTAAGAGGGGGTCGTGGAGGACGAGGCAACCCCTCCAAGTCGCCGGCCGTCCGCGCGTGTGGAGGATCTCGCCGGCAGTGCTCGCGCTGGGAGGATCTCGTCAGCCGGCCGCGCGCGAGGGAGGAGCTCGCCGGCCGTCCGCGCGCGGGGAGGATCTTGCCAACCGTCCTCGCGCGGGGGAGTAGCTCGCCGGCCGTCCGCGCACGGGGAAATAGCTCGCCGGCCGTCCGCGCGCGGGAGAAGCTTGCCGGCCGTCCGAGAAGGAAGCCACTGGGGATGTCGCCGAGCGCCGGGTTGTGCTGCAGCATGAGGACGGAGAGGCTCCGGCACGGGGACGACGGTGGCATTGCCAGCAGCTGCGCATGGCGGACACCCGCTCCGTGTCGCGTGCACGCTAGAAGAACTCCGCTAGCTTGTTTGCTGCTTGCTCATGTTCTTCGACGATTTCATGGTCTCTGATTTGTTCTGTTCGTTCCCCTTTCTTGTTTCGCGTGATCGCCAGCGTCTTCTCTGAATTCGGCAACCATCATATGCTACTTGTCTTGCCGTTGATCTTGCTGCTCGATTCTGTCGCCTCGCCTCCGCTTCTTGATTTTTTCCTTTCCCGTTTCTTGAAGGGAATCATGGTGACTGGTGAGGGAGAAGATGAGATGAGGTGGAGACTGCTGACATGTGGGTCCCGCTTGATGACTCAGCAAGTCAACTGCCACATAAGCAAGTCAATTGCCACATAGGACAAAACCGCCTCTAAAACCGTTCGGGGAGTTGATTTGCAACGGTTTTCGGGGTTGGGGGATGGGTTATACCCGGTTTTGCGGTTGAGGGATGCTATTCATACACGGCCATAAGTTGAGGGAGGGAAAGTGGACTTATTCCGCGGGAGAAGGAGCGGAAGGAGGCGGAGCACAAGGCGTGGCGGGAAGCCTGCGACGCCGCCAGGGACAAGATCCTCGCTCGAGTACGACCCCAAGCATGGCTGCCGGGCCGGCATCCGGCCCGACTACCCTCGGCCCAGGAACGGCCGGGCCTGGGCCGTGCCGCCCATACTATACCATTGAAGAGATCCGTGGAAAGCCCTGGATCACAATGCCATTACGATGGAGTCCTGTATAATCAAGGTCTTGTTTCACTTTGCATCACATTCGTCGTCTACATGCTCATCAGCTAGCTAGCACCAAGCAGACGATCGTTAGACTTAAGATTAAATTCCAAATAACATAAGTTAGACAATTAATCGTACACTGACTAGTAAAGATCATTGTACAGTCTGTAATCTGTTGCAATGAAGAGCCATATGACTGATGTTATACTGACTAAAGAGCGAGAACAATATTTAAAATAATCACTTTGAACAAGACAAACTTCCAGATCATAATCCTTAGAGACATCCCCTAGCAATCATACTTGCACCCCCATGTTAAAGTCAGGGCAAGTTACAGTAGTGATGATCACCAAGCATGTTGATGCCGCTGCAATTAACTAACTTGCAGGGATGACGGACGCCTGCTAGCTAGCCACTGCGGACGGCAGGCACTGGAAGGTCGCGGCGCCGCAGCCGCCGCCGTCGTTACGCCTGCAACAATGGGATGGAGATGATGATGCCATGAAGGGAGAGAGAAATTGTCATCTTGCTCGTCTTATTCATTGCCTCATCGGTAGCTAGCTGGTAGCAGCAAGGCCAGCACCAGCCGTTGGCAAAACTGTTCGCTGATTGACGCCGCCGCGCGGTGGGCCGCATCGCCGCGACGAGCAGGGTGGGCGCGGCCGTCACTGCCGCGACGGGACGACGAAGCCGCACGCCACCACGGCCTGCTCCCTTCTTTTGGGCCGTGCTTGTGCCGGCCCGGCACGAATAGGCCCATCAGACCACTGGGCCGTGCTTGGGCCGCGTCGCTGAAGAGGCGGCCTGGCACGAGACGCGCCGCGCGAGAGGAGGGAGTAGCGAGTTTTCCTGTCCCCCCTTTTTTCGTTTCTGTTCGGTTAGCTTTTTCTTTTTTTTTCCCTTTTTTTCTTCATTTTTCTCGTTTCTGTTCGGTTTGGTTTTTTCTTTTTTTTTTCTGGTTTCTCTTCTGTTCGGTTTTTTTCCCCTTTTTTAAGATGCATGAATACAAAATTTGTATTCGTACGTATGCAAAGTTTGTATACGCGTATGTAAAGTTTGTATAAGCATATACAAACTTTGTATACGTGATGTATTTTTTTTAATACGTATGTATATAAAATTTGTATATATCGTATACAAAGTTTGTATATATCCTATATAAACTTTATATACGTCGTATATAAACTTCATATATGTGTATATATTTTTTATGTGTTAAAAACATATTCATAAAAAATTATATGTATATACGTATGTATATATATATATAGTATATGCATATGATGTATAGATACATATAGACTAGAGACTAGAGGGGGCTGACTGACCGCAAGCGCGCGGGAGCACGCGGCTGATCACGTATCAGCGCCCCCCGTGCTGGCCATGTCGGGGCGGCACGGCTCTATTTGGCACGAAGCACGCTGTGCCGCGTCGTGCTAGCCATAGTTATTAGGACCGGATCGGACCGGCGGTTCGACCGCTAATAACCGGAACCAGAGAGTGCAGCGGCTCGGTTCACTTCAAAGACCGTCTGTGCAATCGAACCGCTAAAAAACGCTCGAACCGGCCGGTTTTTTACGGAACCGGCGAACCGGACGGTTTTAACTGAACCAGGCGGTTTTTGCATTTGGACCAGTTACCCCTCATCTTTCTCAGTGTGACACAACAAAGGCAAAGGGTAAGATTGTAAACACGCAATTTTTAGGGTTACAGCCCGTGGGGAATAGGATTAGATTCACATTGGCGTATTCTTCTCGACTTCTCGTCCCTTCACCTTCGGTGGCGGCGGCGGCGACGAACTGCTGTACCAGCACCGCAGCACGGGCGCACGGCAGTCCAGCTCCGGCGAGCGGCGGCACCATCTCCACTTCTCCTGTTCTGCAGTCTCCAATCTCCATCGAGTAGCGCTCAGCTCTTCCAAGCTCCAAATCCAGTCTCCAACTCTCCATCGACGCAAGCTTCATCCATGGCAGATGGTACGTTCCTAACTTGCTACTGAAATTGCTACTATGCTATTGCCAGTTCCGTTGGTAGTGAACTAGTTAAGATCTATTGTGACGATTTTATTTCAGATCTTGATTTTTTAGAAGACACAAATTTGTTACTTTGCTAGTTGTACTGAAGAAATATAATGCATATATACTTGTTTTACTGAAGCTTTGATTTTTTTTAGATAAATCAATATTAGTAATTATTTGTATTTTTGACAGCAATGGATTCTTCAGATACTCCAACTCCTGTTGATGGGAGTACACCTACATCTACTGCTCAAGAATCAGCATCAGAACCAAAGACAAGAAGAAAGACTGACATTGCTTGGGCCTATTGCACGCATATTACTCAGGGAGGGGAAAAAAGATCAAATGCATGTACTGTGACATGGTTTGTGGCCGGTTCAATTTGACCGGTTCAAAACAATCGAACCGGTTTTTGGCGGTTGAACCAATGAACCAGTGAACCGACGTCCTCGCTGGTTCAATTACCGGTCCGGTCTTAATAACTATGGTGCTAGTTCAAGTCCCAGCTCTACATGCGTTCGTGTGTTGAGGAGATGCTGCCGCCGTCGTCGCCGCCATGCCGGCCGAACGCACTGATCTATCGCATTCCGCACGGGGGAGGCTAATAGGCGGGTGACCGCTCCTAGCGATCACCGCCCGCCCCTCCCCTGTACGCTCCCTCCTCTCCCCCTTCCTCCTCCCCTTCTTCTCTTCCTACCACAGTACACCATAAAAATTAAAAAAAATAAAAAGACAAAGTTGAAAAAATTTATGTATAGAAATACAAATACTGTATATAAAAAATATTTAAATTTAAATTTAAATTTGAAACGGGTTTGTAAACTTTTGACTTATAAAGTTTGGGTCTATAAACTAATATTTGAATTCAAATTCCAATTCAAATTTGAAACGGGTATATAAACTTTTGACTTATAAACTTTGGGTTTATAAACTTTAGATGTATAGAAATACTATGTAAAAAAACATTTTAATTCAAATTTAAATTTGAATCGAATATATAAACCTTTGACTTATAAACTTTGGGTTTTTAAACTTTAGATGTGTAAACTTGATAAAAAAGAAAATCAGGTGGAGGAAAGGGAGGGGAGACGGACTGATCGCTAGGGGCGATCGATCGTCCCTCAGCAATCTCGTTCCGGACGCGTGCAGAACGAAAGCCAGTACGTCGCCGGCGCGCATGCACTGCTCGATCGTGTACGTTCCGCGCGTACGTGTCCAGGACCAGGACATGCATGCATATATGCGCTGCCATTAATTAATTAACCATCAGCTAGCTGCTTGATTTATACTACTCTCTCCTGGATTTTTCACATTTTGGTCCTTTTGAAAAACTTATTTCGCAAGTAGATCCCTAGAAAAACTTATCCCAAAAATGGTCCTTTTTGGGGCGCCAGAGTGGCTGGCGCCGTCGTTTAACAGGACGGCGCCAGCCTCTTTGGCGCCGTCCCACCGCCGACGTGGCGGGGCGATGCTGAGGTGGCTAGGGGGAGTGCGCCAGAGTGGCTGGCGCCCCCCCCCCCCCCCGAAATTTTTTATTTTTGTTTTATTTGTTTGATATTTTTTTCACGCTTAGGGACACACAAGAACCAACCATACAAAAATTGAACTCAAATGGACGTAATATGTGACATGTAGAATTTTTCCTCTCCTCTCCTCTCTCCGAACTAGTGCAAAGGAGAGAGATGTGCAACTTTTTTATTTTTATTTTATTTTTTTGATATTTTTTTCACACTTAGGAACTCACAGGAACCAACCACGTAAAAAATAAACTCAAACGGACGAAATATGTGGCATGTGGAATTTTCCAAAGCTCCACCGAAAAACTTCTCTCCTCGAAAACACAATCTTGCAAGCGGAATTTGGAGGTTTTAATATCGCCGAACCCGGCAAAGCTGGGGAGAATCGGATGTAACAGAATCGGATGTAACTTTTTCTGTAGATGTCCGTGCATATATTATTTGCCTGATTCCGAGTCCGTATGAGAAAGTTACGCCTATTTTAATACATGGCATATTTTGTCCGTTTCGGTAGAGTTTTGGAAAATTCTACATGTCACATATTTTGTTCGTTTGAGTTTATTTTTTATACGGTTGGTTCCTATGTTCTCCTAAGTGTGAAAAAAATATCAAAAAATGAAATAAAAATAAAAAAAATTACATCTCTATGTACTGTTTAACTTATATATGTCATTTCATGTGGTTATATTTTGAATTAGATTAAGTAATTTCATATAGTGGTAGAGTGCATTATGTTTAACATGCTGATCAAAGGGTTTTACTAAAGGAGTTATGGTCTAATTTTAGTGAAGGTGCAAAGTAGACTAAGTGGTATGCTAGATATTTTCAGACTTAGCTAAGTGGTAGTTCGAGTTTAAATTTTTTTTGTGGTTGGTTGTATCGTGATCCTAAGTGTGAAAAAACATCCGAAAAAATAAAATAAAAATGACACCGTTGCAACTCCATACAGAGAAACAGGAATGGAGGCGGCGGCGCCAGCCATGCTGGCGCCCTCCTCCCTAGGGCGGCGCCAGCATGGCTGGCGCCCTCCTCCTGCCACGTCGGTTCGCGTGCGCCACGGTGGCAGGAGGACGGCGCCAGAGAGGCTGGCGCCGTCCCGTTGGATGACGGCGCCAGCCACTCTGGCGCCCAAAAAAGGACCATTTCTGGGATAAGTTTTTTCAGGGGTCTATTTGCGAAATAAGTTTTTTAAAAGGATCAAAATGTGAAAAATCCAGCTACTCTCTCTCTGTCTCTTTCATCCTTTTCTAATCAAACTTGGTTTGACCAAATTTATATAAAAAAAACATAGCAGTATTTTCAACACAAAACAAATATATTATAAATATATTTAATGTTGTATTTAATTAAACTAATTTAATATTTTAGATTTTGCTAATTTTTCTATAAATCTTGTCAAACCTAATCAAATTATGACTTGCAATATGAAACGAAGGACTAGTAGGAAAACTCTATTCATCCTTAGGGGATATCCCCTCTTTTTTCATGTCACTTAAAAGTTATCAAAAAAAATTTAAAAAAAATTTAGTATGATAGATCAATATGTGATATTTAACTTCGCAAGCATGCATATTCAAATTCAACTTGTACAAGTATAAACAAAAACAATAAAATTGACCGTGAATAGAACGTGTAGTTCACGGTCAAATTTGTTATTTTTGTTTCGAATTGTATAAGTAGAATGTTGCCTTGTATGTTTGCGAAAAGATATATCATATATTGATCTATTTTGATAATTTTTTTAAGAATTTTTTGATAATTTTTAAATGACATGCACAAAACTAGTGACGTCCCCCCTTAAAAGGAAAAAAAAAAGCACTTGACGGACTAGTATATTATTACAAGCGCCGTGTGTGCATGCTTGCATGCATGTGATCGGCCGGGCACGTAAAGTGACGCGCGGCTGACGTCATAATATTCCATCAGGACATTTAATTCTTCCTGCTTTTGATTGATTAATTAACTAGTGGAGTAATACGGTTAGTGTTGCTGCTTGCTTCCTTAATACTATTTTTTTAGTATTATTAAGTAGTGTATTCATTTATGTGGCTAATTAATACCATCCAAACTCAACTAGGGGAGGTAAAAAGTTGTCCACTGTAGTTCAAGGAGGCCCACATTGTCAGTGACACAAGGGCAGAGGTTTTGGGTTTAGCAAGGTAACCCGAGCCGAGAGAGGGGTGGGTGGGCGTGGTGTGTGTGTGCGCGTGTCTGTGCCACCTTGTGCTCTGCTCCTCTGATTCATCAAGAAAAAACAGAGGAAGAAAGGGAGGAAAAAAAAAAGCAGAGTGCATCCGGTGAGTTGGAATTGGGCGAGCGCTTAGATCTATCCATCCATCCACATGAACTGACCACCACGACGACGACGACGACGATTTTTACCAGAAATGCTTTATTTAAGACGTCCGACCCGGAAGAATATACCGGACGGGACCCTCACATTTAACTAAGCAGAGAAACAAAGTAGTACTCGATAGAAGCATACATCAGCAAACTTTTTAGTTACGCATGTGTAAAGGACTCACACAATAGAATAGTTATTTTTTCAACCAAAGCCAACAACCAACAACCATTTGAAACATTAAAATTTCCTTTTCTCTTAAACTATTTATCTAGTCTGTAATCTGATCTGTTGTATTTATGGCAATTAAATCTTCTTAACAAGACCTCATATGAATATATTTCGATAAAAAAATACATATGTTTCAACCGTTAAAATCAAATGTTTCACGCATGAGAAACAAATGTCTCAATTTTTAATTCGACTTTGTTGCACATTTAAAGTTTTGTGTTGCAACAGATTATTAAATGTTGCACATCCTATTATCTAGGTATTTCAATAAGTTTTTTCAAATGTTTCACTAGTTTATTTGCAAATGTTGCAATAGCGTTCTTTTGATGTTTCAGTAAATAGGTATGATGTTTCAGTACTTATAACTCAACTGTTTTATTTATGGTATAAAAATGTTTCATATGTTTTTTCAACGTAATATACTCATGTGAGATCTTGTTATAAAAATTTAATTACAACGATATAATTAGATCATAGATCATATAGATAGGTTAGGAGAAAAATCATTTCAAAAATTGCTAAAGAGTGTACATGTATATAGTAGGAAAGAGATGGTGCATAGTGCATGGTTTGCGTGAATCCTGTTATCTGCTCAGAATTGCAACGGGTAGGGCTTCCGATCTTTTGAGTTTTATCGGACGTCCGAGCTGTAGCCTTCTCCGGTTTTTTACTTTAATAGTATTGATATCTAATTTGGAACTTTTATTGGCATGATGGTTATATCTTGTATGTTGCTATCTTATGCTCTGACAAGAATTCTAAAGCAATTAGAATTTTAAAAGAATTATTATACGACTCCTTATGTATTTTTAAAAGTAAACGATCTTGAAAACCGACTCAAATACAAATAATTTATCAAAATATCAGCGGAAACATATTTAATTTTTATAATAGTAGAGATAGAGATAGATATATAATTAAAAGTAACGTCCACGCATCGTACGTCGCTACGAATAATAAGAACTCTTAGATCCGATATATATTACATGGGTAAAGATAAAGAAATATATGTGCGTAACATCCGTTAGTTCGGTAATAAAATTAGTTGACGTACTGGTTCTCATGGCGGAGGACGACGGCGGCGGCGACGAGTGGAGCGGCCTAGAGCCCTTCTTCTACGACGAGGCGGTGGCGAGAGCGGACGGCGAGCGAGCGCTGGAGAGGCAGCGGGAGAAGGAGCGGAAGGAGGCGGAGCACCAGGCGTGGCGGGAAGCCTGCGACGCCGCCAGGGACAAGATCCTCGAGTACGACCCCAAGCATGGCTGCCGCACCTACACCCGCTTGTGGTTCTGCAGCTCCATCCTCTTCAACCTCGACGAGGAGTCGCCGATCGGCCCCTTGTGCCGAACCGTCGACCGCGGCCAGCCGCCCCTCCACCGAGCCGGCGACAGCAGGCTGCGCATGTCGTTGAACGTCCTCGCCGTGAACATCGTCTCCTCCGACGTCGGCTACCCCGTGCTCGTCTACGGCACCGTCATCGCCAGGGATGTCATCGATCGAAAGTGCCTCTACCTCTTCCGCCGCACCACCGACAATCCCCAGCTCATCACCTCCAAGGCAAGTACGTCATCATCATTATCTAATCTAGCTGATCGATCGATTGATCACTTCTTGTTCTTGCATAATTGCAATATTGCATGATGATGATGATGATTATATAGGATGAAACGTTGGTTTTGACCGGACCAACTCGATCAATCGAGGTGTCCGACTCCGTGTTCTTCGAGGTGAATCTCAAGTTGAAGGAGGAGGAGGATGACGGCGATGTCGTCGTCGACGACAGAGAATTCAGCAAAGGGCTAATCGAATTTAGAAGCCTGAGCATGCCAAGAGGTGTCGAGGATGTGGTCGTCGGAAGCTGCAGCACGCTGGATAGCAGGCTCAGCACGGTCGAGCTCTCCTACGCCTACATCGGAGGCGCCGTCGAGGCCGCCGTCGACGTCACCCTGCGCCTGCCTGCCGCCGCCGGCGCCGGCCGCCATCGTCGCTGCTTCCATGGACAGATCACTGCGTGCAGCAGCAGCATCCCGGATGCATCCATTGTGCTCTACGACAGCAGCAAAGTGAACGCGACCAGCAATTCTTCAGCTGGAGGCGCCGCCGGAGACGTCGCCGTCGATCTTGCCCGCCGCGTCATGGCCGTCCGTGCGGCCGACGAGCTCGTCTTGACGCTCATTGCTGCTGCAGGCGATGCTGACTGCCACCATTATCGCACAAATGTCGAATTCACTCCAAGGATCTGTGGTTCAGAGAGCCTTGAAGTCAGCATCTGCGGAATTAAGCTGCTCATCAAGGTTTCCTGGTCTGCATTTTAAACAAATTTACTGACATCAAATTTTCTTTTCAGTAATCAAATTTGTGCAATGTACAGCATTAGTTAATTACTTGTTCATCAGTTATTACTTTTGAACTACGGTAAACATCGTCAAAGCCATTCATCAACCAGTTCTCAGACTCAGTTGCTACAATGCAACTAGTTACATTTTTTCGACTCAACTCAGGCAAGCAAACATCTATCTCAACGAGCTAGCTAATACTACCTGACTAATATAATTATAAGCACAGCAGAATAACAGACCTGATGATATAAAGAAAGCATGTTAAGAGGTTCAGATTTGCAGGCCTCATGTATACAACTTCTCCCTCTGATACTGCAGTGTCTTGTCATCGAATTTGTTTTGAACTGAACCTTTCGGCTGGTGTATAGTCTCTTGACACTGATAGTAGTGAAAGCTGTTTAAGACTCCTAAACTTTAATTGAAAGTAGTTTCGGACTTGAGTACAAAACACATTTTTAGAAGTATGATGGAATGCTAGTTTGTTCAATCAGCTGGTAAAGGGGAACAAAAATTGCTAGTCAGAACGTTTCAATCAATTGAATAAAAATACTAAAGGTTCCAATGGCATTGCTCCAGTTTCGTTTTCAATTAATGACATAGCAATCTGCAGAACAGAGCAGAGGTAGATACTTAGAAAGGTTGCATTGACAGGTGTACCACAGTTGGTAATGGTACATAACCTTATCGGCTTGTTTGGCAACTTGAGGGAAGAGGATTGGGAGTTTACACGAGAAAATTGATGGTGAGATTAAGATGGGAATTTGATTTTTCATCTCAGTCTCTTGTTTGGTAGAGGTGGTGGAAATTGATAGGGAGTTTAGTTGGAGATTAGATCATTAATGAAAATGGATGGTTGAGATTTGTTTAGGCGAAGTAAAGGAGGAATTCCCTCCTAATTACCTGCCCCTACCCAGGTATTGAAAAGGAGGGAGTTCATTCCTCAATTCCCCATCCCCATCCCACCAAAATTCCCATGTCCCCCAACCAAACAAAACAGTTAATAGCCTCATCCTTTTAAACTCCCAATCCCTCCTAGAAACTCTCTCCAACCAAACAGACCGTATAAGCATGGAAATAGAGGAGATAATCCTGTGTTTCCAGCAACTGCACGACATCCATATAAGTTTACAGACAATCAGCACGTAGCAACCAATAACAACAATTGAAACAGGAAAAATAAAAATCTCCATAGAAACATACTTAGCCCATAGCCCATATTTACACTACACATCACCAAATTCAGCAGGCAAAAAATATCAGACAACCAAATGATGAAGAACTCTCTTCTTCCTTTCTTTTTGGCAAAGACAAAGGCACCATTTGTCCATTTGCCGTTTTTCAGTCTACAGCCTAGAGAGCCCTCTTACTACAATAGAAGGCAATGTATCAACTCAGGTTGATTACATACACAAGATATGCTGAAACTTCTATGTGGTATCACACCTAAGATGTTCAGACAAAATCATGATGACGGTGACTGTGGTGGCTTTGTTGCGTCATTGCCTTGCCGATGTCCTTTACCCATAGCTTCTTCCTCCAAGTGCTCTTTCAGACCTTCTTTGTAGGACTCGACATAGTTCTTCAGTGCATCTGTGTAGTTTGAGGCGCGAGCCATGTACATCCGCTGTAACGCAGGCTTGGCTTTCTCTGCTCCACCCTTTAATGCGCCGAGAAGGTCCTCAACCGTGGTAGGCTCGCTGCTTCCCTCCTCAGTCTTGATGTCGGGTTCCTCTTTGACCTTCTTGTAGTCATTCGGTCTGAGATCAGGGCCAATGTCTCTGACCCAAGAAGCCCCGTACAGCCTGGTTGCCTCCTTCAGAATACACCACTTGTCTTTCAAGGTGAGCTTTGGCCGCTTCTTGATGTGTGGAGGATCTGGCAAGGATGAAGGAAAAGCAATCTCCTTGAGATCATATCTGACGTAATCATACAACTTCCTGCAAACAACTCTGAACTTCATGCCCATTGGTACTGCAGTGCCTCTCTCCTTTGTGTGGTCTGACAACAGATTAACCTGCAGCACAATGAAAGGTTCACCATAAATTTTTTAGCTCCCATGTGTTCTAGATTCTAACATGAGACATCAGACATTTAAAAAATGCAAGGTGGAATTGGTATGAAATGCCAAAGCCGACCAAGATTTCAGCATGTAAAGTGACTAGGGAGCTAGCAATTCATCAAGCTGTGCTAGAGGAAAGGTACAGAGACAACTTGTTAACATTTAAATCTTCAAAAACTATCTAGTATCCATGTCTACAATTAGCTAGAAGGGATAAATGTCACCATGTCAGCATGTTCCACATTCACATTTTATTTCTCCTCATGAGCTTCTCGCCTTGTAAAACACCTCACAATGATTCAACACAGAAAAACTCAAGAGTCACAATGATGTCAGAGAAAACTACACATAGTGATCAGTGGAACACCTGATGAAAAGAATTGAACACAAGGAGAGTTTTTGGTGCTGCAAAGCAGCAGCTTTTCTTGACCTTATATTGCAACTTAAATAGACAAAACAGAAACTAGATCATGTCCTTGATGCCACGAGTGCCACGCCCATCCACTTCTTCTGCCATCCCAAACGTCGGGGTGTGCTGCACCATGCACTAACTAATGACCCATTCCAGCATGAACATGCATGCTTCGAGCTACAAATGTGCACAACCAACTAACTCCACCATGCGCTGACTCAACAGAACAAGAAAGAAATGAACCACGCGCACAAGAATTATTTGCTAACAAATGATTGGAAACTTATACTATCAGTCATATATGTTGGTACCAGTACTAGTTAACTACCTAGTCAAAGTTTTAGTTTCAGTAACAGCATGTAGAACTAGCCCTATATTTTTATTCAAGAGGCAGAAATGTTTTGTTAGAACTAGAATATACAAAATTGACACAATTATAGGGAGCATATATATACAGCATAGAAGCTATAGTGCTCAGTCATGCAATGTGGCATTGATTTCCTTGAACAACCCATGTCAAAAGCAGGGAAATATTCGTGTAGAAATATACATACATATCACATTAGCACCATTAAAGCTAAAAACATAGGAACCCATGTCAGAAGCAAAATAGGATCATTGCTCAAACTTATATTGTCAAGATCGAGCAGAAGTTTAGTAGGCAAAAAAAGCACGAAGAGGCCGAAAGGCACCGAGAATTTACTCCGTACACGAGATGATTTCGATCGGAATTTGAACACAGTACATGTAATAGTGCATCAAATTCAAGTTTCTTCTATGAATTAGCGCATCTAATTAATGTCAAACTGCTAATTTAGAAAAAGAAAAAAGAAAGAAAGAAAGAGAAGGGGAATAGGTTGGTGCCGCACCGGTCAGTAGCGAGCGGAACAGAACCCGCGTGCCACCAGCAGACGACCGACGGCGGCGTCGGAAGATGGGAGGAGATGAAATGAGAGACCCGCCGGCGATCCTGCAGGGGGAGAGCTGATTTATGAGTAAAAAAAAAAAAAAAACCGGAAGCGGCGGCGTGCTCGCAAGGCCGGACTCGGAACCAGAATCCGCTGGCGCCAAGCGGCGGAGAGGTAGATACGAGAAGGCGGCGTGCGGCGAGGTGAGGTCGGAGATATACTGACCGTCGTCGCCGTCGTTGGGAGCGGCGCTCCAGGCGGAGGGAAGCGGCGGCGGCAGCGGCGCTGGTGAACTCCCGACCTAAGGGCACCTCGCTGAGACGCTGACGTTTCGTCTTGGGCCTACGTACCAAACTTGGGCCGGTGGTAGTGGGTTGGACCTCATCGAGGCACATTTCCATCTGATTTATTTGTGGGCCTTGTGAAGCAGATTATTCATCAACAAAAAGTATATTTTACCTCCCTCAGCTATAGGCACGTCCACGTTGCAACGATTTTTTATTCAGTTTAGAGTAGGGCGATGGCACCATTAACTTTTGAAATAACGTTGGATCATTCATGCTATTTAAAACATTAATATAAATATGTTAAAATATAAATTTGTTTGAATAAGACAAATAATCAAGTATGATGCTAAAAGTCAATTGAATCATCTATTTAAAAAAAATAGAGGAAGTAGACTTTTTCGTTCATCTGGCGAATTATTTATTTAGTTAATTATGAGATAAATTGGATTACAACCGTAAACATATAAACCTGCAATGCGTCTCCTAGTAGTAATATATGGGATTTTTTGATACCCTTATTATATATATGGCCATTATAGAGAGTTGAAATAATCTACGGATTCAAGACGACCCTGTCGTAGTCGCCGGCGGCGGAGGCGGAGGCGTCGGCGCTCTGGCCGCCGTCGAGCGGGAAGAAGAATGGGTAGGTCTCGTAGCGCGCCATGCAGCTGCTGTACAGCACGCGGCATCCTCGCCGGAATCGGCAGTAGTTGGGCATCTCCGCCACCGCCTGCGCCACGCACAGCCCGCAGTCCGCCGCCGTGATGTCGCGCGTGCACCACCCGAGCCCGTAGATGGTCACCCCGTCCTTGAACCTCGCGGTCTCCCTCGCCAGCCCGCCGCCCCCCGCGTCGCCGGCGTCCGCCGCCACGCGCGCCATCACCTTCCTCTGCGCCTTCTCGAACGCCTCCGGGTCGGTGGCGTTCTGCGTGTTGAGGAGGATGAGCGCGTAGCCGGTGTCCGGGAGGCCGACGAAGTCGGCGTCGTCGTAGCGCGCGAAGCAGTAGTCGTACCAGACGCGCGCGTCGGCCCTGCCGCGGCAGGCCCCGGCGAGCTGCCTGGCGGCGGCGGAGGCGCAGAGCGCGCAGTCGGGGGCCGGGATGTCGCCGCGGCACTGCGCGAGGCCCCAGATGGCGGAGCCGTCGCCGCCGCGGCCGGCGGTGGCCGTGGCGTAGTAGCCGGCGGAGGCGCGCGGCACCAGCTCGGAGAGCACCTGCGCCACGCTCGCCTGCGCCGGCGCGCCGCTCAGGTTCCTGGCGCAGTACGTGTTCACCGGGTCCACGGCGGCGCACGGCGCCGGCACAGTCGCCGCCACGAGCAGCAGCGCCACCAGCACGGCTACTAGTGGTGAACACGACGACGCCATCGCCATTGATGGACTGATGACTTGATTGTCAGCTAGCTTGTTGGTGGATTTGAGTGGCCTCGATCGCTAGCTTGTTATATGGAATGGAATGGATGGCTGTGCTTAGCTTGGTCCAAGCTAGTGAAGGTGAAGCTGCAGCCATGGTTGACCAAGGTAGCTAGTGCATGGGCCTGCCTCGTCGATTTTTTGGCTGCGACAACGCAGGCTCATGCACAAACTGACGAACCATTTCATTTCGACCCATTGGATGCATGCTGAAATTAATCAGAGATGCACATGTGTCATCTTCTAGATCCCTCACTCATTTTGGTCTCCATCGACATACATGGTCAACTAGCAAATTAATTAAGTTTTTTTTTAAGAAAGAGAGTAACTAGTAGAGCAAATTATGCATTGCCAAGTAAGTATATCCTTATCTCAAATAGTTTGGCTACTATATATACATCTAGAGTATATATGTTTGGTCAAACATTTTAGACTTCAGTTGCTAGCGTGAATATATAAAACTAATTTTCTCTTCAAAAAGATGTACATTTATTGTTGCAGTAGTATATCTCTGACGACCTCTTCTCTAGCAACAAGATCTCTAGGTAATTAACACTTGTACACATTCAACTCGACCAACCAGGTCTGCATTTCTAGAGGAACTATAAACTGCAAGCAACTCTACAAAATGGAGTATATACGTAGCAGGTGCAAGTGTTGTACGAACCATTCATGCTGGCACTTGATCATTGATCACCATTTTCGTTACCTTGATATTAATTTCAAGAATTTTGTTACCTTGGTTCTACTAGTACCAGTAGTACTTAGGCCGGGGCTTCTAGTGGTCTACTGACCAAGTAAATAATGCAGCATTTGTTGACACTTAATTAGGACGTAATTATTAGTGCTTGCTCTGACCAGTTACGACGCCGATCTGTGTCCATATCGGTGGCGACATCATACTGGTCAACGTTTATTAATTAATTAGTGGATATATGTGGAGACTATCCCGCTTAATTGCATGTGCTAACGAGCGATGGAGACATTTGTTAGGTCGCCAGTTTTACCAGTCTGCCACTCACTCGCTCAAGTCACTATCTTAATCTCTCTGTCTCAAACAGATCGCAGGATAATTACTCCTTCTGGAAGCAAGAAGCTTCAATCTGTTTTCGTAGGAACAAAATTAATCTAACTGTCAATAGGGGGGAAAAACACTCTCTCACCTTTTGTGTATGACAGCAACACTGAAGTTCCTCACTGACCCGGGGAGATTTTCATTTCATTTCAAGTTACTAGCATGGTAGTTTGATCTTAGCTGCCTGCAGTGTTCTGCAATGTATGCTCTTAGTTTGCGTTGCTGCTATTTTGTTCTGCACGCAGAAAGGCCTTGATTTCTCTGAAGAACTGGTGGTGCTGGCTGGATTTCTTCAGGTAAGATATTTGCATTACCTTCATGCACAGTATATATGTCTGAAGAAACAAACGAGCAAAGTTTACATATATGGGGGGAAATAATCTGAATGCTGTATTATTGATAGATAAGTCTAGGTGAGATTATTTGCAGGGCTTGATATGAACATAATTGCACGCGCGTGTGGAGGAGAAGGGGCTTGCAAAAGACAGCCAATATTGCTGAGATCAAATATGCAACACTGTAACTGATCGATAGCACAACTCTCTTAATTTCTGAACATTTGGGCTCTGAAATCAAAAGTGGGAGCCTAATGCACACAGTTCTCTTAATCTGTAATTCTCTGAACATATATGTGTGTGAAAGTTTGGTTGATGTTATCTTGATCGTTCCAGTTCCAGAAGTATGTGTTGATCGAACGAGGAAGAAATTTTCAATTCAAATCTTGCCTGTTCCTATTCTCCCAGCGAAAAAGTGTGAAGAGAGTAAGGAGTTCATACTATTTGCATGTCGAAGCTTAAAGGTTATGGTCATACATATTTTCGTTAACTACGGATGAAGATTTACAAATAGACTTCAATAATTGTTTACTCCTTATGTGTTGGTTTTGTTTCGATGTTGTCGGATTGTTATGCTCTCTTGAGAGAATTTTGTATTAAGCGGTTGTAGCTTCTTTTGAAGTAAATGCCGAAATTTTTTTATATTATCTGAAAAAAAAAATTCCTCCAGCGAAAAGTCTCACAGACAATTGTTTCCCACCCAATTGGCGTTGCGCGTACTCAATCGGATTACTCACATTGGTTCCCGAGTTGGATTGGTAGCGATCCACCTAGGGGCTGTCTTTCGAATGAAACATAAATACGAGGGCTATTTCTGAGAAAAGGCCGCACAAACTTGGAAATACACGTTGACCAAGTTCACTTGCCTGTAATAACTCTTTTTAGATATAATATATAATATTTTCTTACATAGGTTTGTATATAATCTCTCATATTTCTCAAACTAGAGGTGAAAAAGTCATTTTAAGTCACTCTCGCTGACATGACACTCTAAATAGGAAAAAAGCTATCTCTCCCATGGTGTTTCCGTAATAAAAAAATTAGAAGAGTGGTATCTCGATAGTGCCACTCGTAAGAGTGGCAAATAGTTAAAAAAAACCCATATTCCTTCCGTCGTCTCCGACTCCGAACATCCTCTCCGGCGGCCGGCGGCCATCGTCGTTGCCTCTCGGTACTCCCGCCCATGACCGCTGCCACGACCTAGCAATGGGGAGGCTTTCCTGTATCAAACGCCTTCCTCGATTCGCTCTCCGGCGCGGCGTCTCCGATGCTTTCCTCCGTCCCCTTCTCCGCACCGCATTCCTCCTCCGCCGCCGCCGCCGTCTCAGCACCGCGGAGAGCACTCATCCTCCGCGGCGGGGACGCTTCCGTCGGGACCCCGATTCTGATGAGAGCAAACTCGTCTCCCTCGCGCGGCAGCGTGGGGCGGCGGCCGCTCGCGCCATGTTCGACGGAATGCCGCGCCGGGACGATGCCGTCGCGTACGCCGCGATGGTCGGAATCCACCTCTGGGACCGGGACCTTCCCCACGCGGAGGCGCTCTACCGTGCGGCGCCACCGGATTGCCGGGGGATCCATCTTGACACTGTCATGCTCGATGGGTACGTCAAGGCAGGCCAGGTCGACCGTGCCCGCAGGCTGTTCGACGGAATGGCGGTGAAGAACGTGGTCGCCTGGACATGCATGGTCTCTGGATATTGCCGTGCGGGCCTTGTGGACGAAGCGCGCCGCCTGTTTGATTTGATGCCATACAGGAATGTTTTTTCGTGGACGACAATGGTGCAGGGTTATGCACACAATGGGATGCTACGGGAAGCGAGGGAGATGTTTGATAAGATGCCAGAGAGGAACGTGGTTGCTTGGACAGTGATGGTTAAAGCCTATGTTGATAATGGTTGTATTCAGGAGGCTTTGGAGTTGTTCAACAGGATGCCTCAGATGAATTCATATTCTTGGAATGCCATGGCAACCGGTCTTATGAGTGCTGGGAAAGTGGATGACGCGGTTCAGTTGTTTGATAAGATGCCACATAAGAATGTAGTCTCTTGGACTATAATGGTCACTGGCTTGGCACAGAATGGTTTTGTTTCTAGGGCAAGAGAGTTCTTTGACAGAATGCCAAAGAAGGATATTCCGGCATGGAATTCAATGATCACTGCTTATACCAATGATGGCCAAGTGAATGATGCACAAAGGTTGTTTGATATTATGCCTTCAAAGAACCTGGTGACTTGGAATATCATCATTGATGGGTATTCCATGAATAATCTGAAGGACGAAGCTTTGAGGTTGTTTCTTCTTATGCTCCGCTCAGCAGTATCTCCTGACAGCACTACATTAATTAGTGTCTTAGTAGTATCTGAGAGCACAATGGAGGTTAGACAAATTCATGGGTTGTCCACAAAACTGGGGTACCAGCCCGAAACTAACTTAGGAAATACTCTGGTTTCAATGTATTCTAGAAGTGGCGATCTGTCATCTGCATGGCTTGCTTTCAGGAGATTGAACGAGAAGGATGCCATAACATGGACATCGATGATACAAGCTTTAGCAAACCATGGGTGTGCACCTTGCGCCTTGCAGGGCTTTGCCCAAATGTTAAGGTGTGGATATAAGCCCAGCTCAACTACCTTTACTGCTGTGTTGTCAGCTTGTAACCATGTTGGATTAGTGGAGAAAGGCCGAAAAATATTCAAATCAATTAGCCATGTTTATGGACTAGGGCCAACCATTGAGCACTACTCTTGCCTTGTGGATCTCCTAGGTCGAGCAGGGTACGTGAGGGAAGCCAAGGAAGTGGTTGACGGTATGCAGCGGGATATGTGTGATGAGGCCATTCTAGGGACGCTTCTGGGATCTTGCATGACACATAATGAGGTGGAGGTAGGAAGAGCTGTGGGTGAGGATCTTGTCAAAATTGACCCCTCTGGTTCAGGAGGCTATACGCTTTTGGCCAATGTTTTTGCATCTGGTGGGATGTGGAATGAGGTGGCAAGTGTGTGGAAGATTATGAAGGGAAGCAAAGTCAAGAAGACTCCTGGTTTTAGCCAGATTGAAGTAAACGCAAGGAACCATGTTTTCTACTCAAGGGACCAGATGCATTCACAACGTACAGAAATTTATGAGATGCTAAATAGTAGGCTTGTCCCTCAGATGAAGGGTTCATCAAGTCTAGGAACTGATTTCTACTGATCAAAATGATTTACTATATGCTTTAGAGTCAAGCCCAAAAGGCTATCAGTACAATCCTGATATTCATCCTCTGGCTAGTATGGAAAGAAGCAAGGCAAAGGTGTTCGAAAACAGGTCGTCTTCCATGCTCACTTCTGGGCTACAGAAGCTGCAAGCGTGGCGAGACAAAGTGGCATGGAAGTTCAAAACTTCTTTGTGAAATATTAGCCTTTGATTTTTTTTTCCTCAGAGCCTGTGTGCTGCTGTTTCACCGCTTGGGTTGGGTAGCTATGTAACCAGACTTTGTTTGGGGACAGCTCTCTTTCTAATGACATGATATGCAAGTTTTTGCATGTTATCCCCGCCCTCCCAACACACACACACCCTCCCACCACCCAAAAAAGGTTAAGTAGGTTATCGAGAGTTGATCTGATCATGTAAGAATGATATAGACTAGCCCGGCTGACAGATATCCAAAGGTTTATGTTACCTTGATGGGGCTGTTAATTATTTTAGGCAGGACAGAAAAGGTTAATACCATCATATTCAGGAGTCTACCCGGGGTGATAACTTGATATTCCAATGTAGCACATTTCTTCTAAGGATTCTTTCGTGATGTATCTATTTGCATATTTAAGTAGCTTTCCCTTCGGTTTTTTGCATTATCGAACAGCAACCTGCACACAATGTTTATGTAGTGAGTTCGTTTTTGGTCTACTTAGAAAAGAAAAGGAACTTCATTTCAAAACTGATGTAGTAATAAATAATGTCTGTTTTATATTTTGATGCTTCAGTTACATTTTCAAATAATTTTATGTCAGAGTAATTTCAGTTACTTATTCTGAGATACACTTATGCTGTTCCCAGGTTTATGGTTTTGATTTTTCCATAGATAATACCCTAAAATATTATAATAAACTGATGGTCTTGCAATGAGCTCTTGCACCTTCATACCTATGAAATTCTGACTATTTTCTTCTCTTAGAGAAACCAGCTATACAATTCATTATTTTTGTAGGAAACATACAGTTTTTGGCTTTGTTATCTAGTAGGTAAACTGCTCACCGGTTCTGTAAAACAGACTAAGTTTGATTCATTAATTTGCGGCTGCAATTTTGTTTACTCCATATTCTAGACTGGTTGTGTTTGCCTGTGAATTTTGGTACTCAGTTTAATCTAAGCTAGCTTCTGATTGTTATTATTGGAGTCATGTCTAATGTTGATACTGCTTGTTATGTTCTCCAGCATATGGCAGAAATTGATCAGCACCAAATACCGAGGGTACAGGTCACATTCACATAAAGGCGTCTGTTCTGAGATACAGAAGATGGTACATTCCATGAGCCTGTAAGTTTCACTGATCCCTATTTTGTTTCCTTGGATTAGGCTTGGGCACAATTGTTCACTGATCCCTAGATGTTTTTTTAGGGGGTTAGGCAGCAGTATATGGTTTAGCCATGACCAACTATATGCACCTGTCGCTGGATCCCAGAAGTTTTATGGATCAGGAGGCCACACGGGATACATTTTCTAGCGTGATCATGGAATACCTTTGGTAATATATGAAAGCGATTTTTGTGATAAGTAATTTGCATGATCTATGTTTAGATCTTATCGCAAATGGTGACAGGGCACCCTGCAAATTGTCTGGTCATGTCAGCTTGCAATAAGTACAACTTTCCTTTGTTGCCATAAGCAACTTGCAACTTGCCCTAATAAGATATACGAAAAGTATAGGCACGTGGGTTTTAGTTTTAGTCAATTAGGATTTTTTTTCTCCTTAGTTACTTACCTCAATTCTTTTTAGTGATCAGACAGTGTAGCTATCCACGATGTATTGATCTGGTTAGTTTTTTTTTTTTTTCTGATTGGGTTTATCTTGGAATCCCATCCAGGATTATGCCCTTCTGTAAGACAACCAAATGAGCAGTAGAAGTTGTTATCGTAAGACATTCAGGATTCTTTCTATTGCAACGACTAAATTCAGTAAGCAAGCAAATGGTATGCAAACAGATCTATGAGGTCAGGCAAGCAATAATTTTGTTCAAAAAGGAGGTCAGCAAGCACTAAGGTGGCGTTTAACTGGAAGCTGAAGTAGGGTGGTGATCAACATCATGCTGAACTGTTTGTGTGAAGAAGCTTGAATTCATCATGCTCCTGTAAATTCCCTCCATCCTTCATGATATTCGCTTTCAGCGGTGCTTCTGACCTGATGGTCTTAAGAAATGTATGCTTCAGAAGTTTCTCAGTTACATCATTGCGATTTATTTTCTCTTCCTTTTTTTTCTTGTATTTCCAATGCCAGATATTTTGAAAATGAATTACACAATCATGGACATCTGTATGAACACTGTATTAACTCACTGAAATTTGTTCGTCATGTTGTATCAGTGCAGATATGAGGAGGCTGGAGGCGCGTCAGAAGTCAGAACCTCCTTTATGCCGCCAGCTGTTTTCATAGCAGTGCTCATGTATATCTGAAAAGAGAATCGAGAATCCAAACCTTATCTTGCTTGATGTTCAGAATGCAATCTGTGGATTCCATCCATGCAGAATGTTCATCTCTACTACTGTATTAGATTTCGAAAAAGAAAGGTTGATTTCAGGGGGCCTTTTTTGTTGCGTTTCAGTGTGGCTACTGGTTGCATTGGTCAGGAATACTGTTACTTGAGGGGTGCTGCTCTCTCTAATCGTGATAACAACCGTATATTTTCAGCACTACTGTTGTTATCCTAATGCTCTCCATGATGCATGGCTTTATTCTTATGAAAAGTGGAGTAGTAGCTAACAAGGCCATGATCATGTAACAGGATAGACGGATGGATAGATAGATACTGGGGATGGGATGATGAAGAGCTGAGGAGCAGCAAGAGGCAGCTATGCTGGGAGAGGCCCCTTTCCAATCCAAGGTAACCATCTGCCCTGATTGCACGCAGGATACCTCTACAGGGACTAGTTTGTCACAGACAATAATTAACAATCAGATAGCGACACGCCGTGTGTTTTAGGCCGTGTTCTTTTCGGTTTATTCATCGTGTTAGTAAAACAGATTATTTACTTCACATTTAGAAAAATATGTTTTCTGATGAAACTTCTACCGCATTACTCAGATCACTTGTTTTTAAAATTGATTTATTTACCATTAAGTAGATACTGCACTCAATAATCTAAATGAAATATTACATAGTACCTTACTCCTAATCAAATATTGAATCCATAGAAACAAGAGCATTGCACTCCACTGTAAATTCAACACATGGTTTTTCTTGTATTTATTCAATCAATTAGCAGAAGCTAGCTAAGGTAGCCTCCAGCAGCTTCTGCATGCTAGCTCCTGGGAGTACTTCAAAATATCAGGCCGATGATTGACATATCTCTATCTTATCCTCCCCAGATGTCTGACAAGGGATAACAAAAACAACATATGCCGGTTCAATCCGGCCCCTGTTAAATTTGGCTACACGCCATCTTCTGTCCTAAACTGTGCCTAATTAGGGGCACACACACACACAATTAGTAGCATTAATGACTCACTGTTTGCCATGCGTGCAAAATCTGGAGCAGGTACCAGCTGATGACAACAAGGTTGGCCGCCTGATGATGCATCCCGAGAATTGCAAGGCTGTCCGAGGAGAAAAGGAAAGGTGAGTAATTCTTGGCCGAGCAACAGGGACACACAAGACGAGAGAGAGAGAAAGGTGAGTATCGGTTGCGTAGCGATCGGTCTACTACCAGGGTTTCCCAAACCGCCAGGGCCGGGGTTACCGCGCCCCAGCGGTAAGCACGGTTATCGCGGTAACCGTGAAAAACCGTATAAAACCGTGCAAAATTTATCAAAAATTTAAATTATTTTTTAAATTTATTTGAATTTAAGGAGGTTACCGCAGTATTTATATTACCGTACCCCACGGTAAGCCCGGTAACCGTGCGGTTACCGGCGGTAAGGGAAACCCTGTCTACTACTGGTCGAACGGAACCCACCCCAACGTGTGGCTTCGAGACCTGACAGCGAAGCAGTAGCACACAACATCTAGGGATCCACTTTGTAGTATCGAGTACTTTCTCCGGTTTCATTTTAATTGATGTTTTGGATAATAACACGGTCTACAAAATATGTCTTTAACCTTATTTTTCTATTATAATATATATAATAAATAAATGTATGTTTACTTTTATTATAGTGCTTTAAAAGACAAATCGTTGTTCTATTTCTTTTAAATTTAATATTTTTTTAAGTTACTGATGGTCAAAATTATAAAAGTTTAACCTTAATCTTGTCTAAAACGTCAATTAATATGGAACCGGATGGAGTAGTTTTGTTTTCTGGACAATTCTCGCCACATCTTTATGTTAACCACTTACTCCAATTTACATTGGCACTATTAACTACATCTTTTTAACAAATAAAATTACATAATACCTTTTCTTTACGATAACGTAGAAGACGTATACGCATGCGCACCACTCCAGCGTAATATACACTCGCACATCTATGAACACATATGTAGCATACGCTTAAATAGACGAAGACCAACGGTGAATCTATAGTCTTGGTAAAATTCTATTAAAAATAAACATGTTATTTGTAGTGAATCGAGTGATACAACTATAACTCTATCATAACAATATTGATGTTTTCCCCATAAAAAAGATGTATTTATATGAATATAAGTACCTTCTTTGTCTTAAAAAAAAGACTTCTAACTATATCTTGAACAGTCTCATGCTCAAATTTATACCTAGGAAATTGTTTCTTTTTTTTAGCATCGTAAATATAAAATCGATTTACCGTTAAAAGGGATGCCAATAGTAAATTGTTTGAAAAATAGAGCTGCTTGAGAAAATGTTATGCTGGATAATAACATAGTAGTAATAGCTTTAATGCTGTCCATAGCTAGTATTTTTCTATTTTTCTCGCTAATAAGGTTGACTAAACGGGGACCAAAAATGCGAGAGGAGGGGGGGACCAAGAGAGAGAGAGAAAAGCACCCGGTGGTTTCGTTCCCGCCTAGGCGGCGAACGGTCAATGGCAAGTGGGCCCAACCACCCCCTTGATACCTAAGCTGAGTCAGCATGTGGGCCCCACCTGCATTCCTCAGATAACACCCCCTCCTCCCCCGCCGCTCGCATCGCAAACGCCCCCCGATTTCTTCTCCAACTGAAAAAAGAAAGCGAAAATAAAATCGAGTTTTCTTAAGAGGAAACTAGCCTCGAGGCTCTAGCTAGCTAGGACTCCACAGGAGGAGGAGGAGGAGGAGGAGAGAGGGATCCGGAATCTCGCGGGGGGGATGCCGCCGGTGGGGGAGGTGGCGGCGGCGGAGGCGAGATCGGGGATGGTGCTCGGGGGAGGGGCGGCGGCGGCGGCGGTGGGGGGAGGGGAGGACGCGGTGGTGATGCAGGTGGCGGGGGCGGAGGGGCAGGACAGCGTCATCACCATCAACTGCCCCGACCAGGCGGGCCTCGGCTGCGACCTCTGCCGCACCATCCTCGAGTTCGGCCTCCGCATCACGCGCGGCGGTCAGGACTCCCTCTCCCTCTCTCCCTACCAATCAATAATCGCTCTCGTCTTCTCCTCCTGTCTTAATTAGGGCTGCTTGTTCGAGCCTAGGTTTTACCAAAATCTGAATTGCAGTCAAAGAATTGGAGACATTAGATTTTTTATTTATTTATTTTAGCATGATGTTTCGTTTTTTTTGGGGGGCTTGCTGGTGTTCTTGAGCGTGAGAGATTTTTTTTTTTTTGAGTTTTAGTGTTGCCCGACTGCTTCTCTTTCTCTGTCTTTGGAATCTGGATGATCAGTTTGCTCTTTTTATCTTTTTCTTTTCTTTTTTCTGTGCGGTGCCGTCTTTCTCGGAAAAGATTTCCAACTTTTTAGCTGTTTCCGTTCCAAGATATATATCGATCAGTTAAACTTTTTAGCTGTTTCCGTTCCAAGATATGTATCGATTAGTTAGACACAGCTCAGTTCCAATTTGTTTTGTTTAATCTCATCGTTATCGGATTTACCTACGCCAAGTCGCCGTCTAGGTTCATGTCGCTGTTGCTGTGTGCTCACTGCATTTCAGATTCATGTCGGCCTTACTAATCATTGGAGCTTCCATCTTAAAACATTAATTCTGTACTGCATCATAACCTGACGAACCACTGCAACTTGCAACTACTAGTACTTACTCATGATAAGTAAACTTCTTTTATTTAGTTTCAAAAAAACTATGTACTATGTACTTGCAAGTGCTGTGCACTGTTTCAACTGCTTCATCAAAACTATGTTCTTCAATCCTTCTTTTAATCCTTCCGTCAACATCTGAAATTCGTTTCTTTGGCAATTTTAGCAGATGTGTCTACGGATGGGCAATGGTGCTTCGTTGTGTTCTGGGTCGTGCCCCGCACGCCATCAATCAAGGTCCGGTGGGCGAATCTCAAGAACCGCCTCATGTCAATGTGCCCGTCAAATTACCCAATGACTTTCTACCCTGAGATCACCCAGCCAGGCCCCTCCCAGTTCTACCTTCTCAAGCTTTTCTCAGCTGATCGCAAAGGGCTATTGCACGGTGAGAACCTGAGCATCTCTTTCTACCTTCCAAACTTCAATGTTTGAAGTAGACCAAGCTGTGATATAATTACAAGTGCCATATGATATGCAGATGTTACGCATATATTATCGGAACTAGAGCTTATAATCCACAGAGTGAAGGTGTCAACCACGCCAGATGGCAGAGTTATTGACCTCTTCTTCATCACCGACGGCATGTAAGTTGTCATTGTTAAAGTTTAGGTCCTTTGGTTATGTTGCCACTTTGAACAAGCTGCTTGTGCAATATGCTGCCGAGCTGCAACACATAATAATTCTATTATATGACTGTTGATACTTATATGTGAAGGGAATTATTGCACACAAAGGAAAGACAAGAAGAGACTTGTTCGATGCTGATTGCTACCTTAGGTCCTTCCATAAGCTGTGAAATCCTATTAGCAGAAGGGTTCCAGCAAGGATTCTCTTCTCTCCCACCGACAATCTCTGAGGAGCTGTTCAGGTTGGAACTGGCTGATGGTGACAACTGTTCAAGGTCAATTTGTGCGGAGATGAAAAGAGTGCAGAAAGCAACCATCAACTTTGACAATACCCTGAGCCCCGCACACACACTGCTCCAAATTAACTGTGCTGATCAAAAGGGGCTCCTTTATGATATTTTGAGAACAATGAAGGACTGCAGCATTCAGGTACACGGAGATATATTGCCTGTATTGTAGTATATAACTAATGCCATGAATGCTTATTAATCTGTAACATTCAGATAATTTTGCAAAAGTAAGACTGGGGGATTTAGATGTTCTGGACATCTGAGGGTACTGTCACCTTAGAAATTACTAAGATATATTAACAAACAAGTTTCCCACCTTCTTGTTAAGAAAGTTTATAACCATCAAATGCTACATAATGATCTGTTATCTGTTATCTAGTCATGGCTTACAGGGGACAATAGTTGTTTATCAAAGCTGTCGCTAGTATATAGTTTGAATGTACCATAACTCAATACCTTTTCAGGTAACATATGGCCGATTCTGGTCAGACAAGAAAGGTTTTCGAGAGGTGGATCTTTTTATCAAGCAAGCGGATGGAAAGAAGATTATTGATCCTGAGAAACAGGATGTTCTCAGCTCACGCCTGAGGTCAGAGATGCTCCATCCTCTCAGGGTGATGATTGTCAACCGGGGTCCCGATGTAGAACTCCTTGTTGCTAACCCTGTTGAGCTATCCGGGAAGGGACGACCACGTGTATTCTACGATGCTACATTTGCTCTGAAAGCGCTTGGGATCTGCATTTTCTCTGTAAGAATCACAGAATATTCAGAGAGGGTTCAAAATGAATTTGTATTTACTCTCTTGCTTATGCATTTCAGGCTGAAATTGGGAGGCAGGCAGCATCAGAGCGTCAATGGGAGGTCTACAGATTCCTCCTGGATGATAGCAGTGAGTTCCCATTGTCAAACAGCCTTGTCAATAGGAACCGTATTGTCGACAGGGTAAGGAAAACGCTGCTGGGCTGTTACAACTGAGACTTGGTTTCTATCTCCACCAATCCAAAGCTCAAAGACAACTGATACAGTCAGTATCCAAACTGTTCCAGTTAATTACCAGGCGAACGCTCAGACTAGGACTACTCCAGGTTTGTCACTGCCGGTGATAAACTTGCTGCCATAACTGGCTGGTATCACTGCCTACAATTGCCAGTTTTCTGTTCATGTCATCATGTCATTGAAGGATATGTTACGGGTTTGTGACCAACTCATCGTGTTCAGTGGTGATGGAAGAAAGTATCTTTATGAAGGTCGCCTGCTTGTCATCTTCAGAAAGAGCTGGCAATATGTGTAACAAAGGAGCGGATGACATACCCAGAATATGTTATTTGGAGTTACATACTCTGAGCACTGTTGTAAATGGTTTCTGAAAATGACAAATGAGCATAATTGCATCTCCGTCTCCCAATTCCAATCCATTTTCACGTTGCTCACATGTTATGTCATGAAGAGAGAAAGAAAGAGAGGAAAAAGGCATATGTTTGGTGGGAGGAGCAAATCGGAGCTTCAATTATTGTGCTTTGTTTTGGCCAGGGTATTACTGGATGCTGACACAGATACATGAGCTTGTTGTAAAGTAGTGCAAGATGTGCCATCTGCCTCACCTGCCTTGCTTTCCTGCCTCCTTCCTACCTTCCTGTATGATTGCTATTTCTTGAGTAGATTAACCCTGTTCCCTGATGTGGGGTTTGTACTTGTCACTTTGTCAGCATTCATGCTAGTTTCTAGAGCTTAGAGCCCTAGTTTGTTAATGCAAAAGCATATTATAAATATATGTACCATCTGGTTGTAAATGACTCGATGAAATTCTCTAGTGACCACTATTCTCGTGTACATTGTTTTGAACCAAACACCTGAATAATTTGATCAGTAATTAATCATTCGCAGCTGCCACTGGATATCTATGATCCACCGAATGATTGCCTTGTTCTGTAATTCTGGCCCGTCTTGTCTGGTGAGAGACTTTGTTCATCCGGACCGCTTTGTAGTAATGTTAATCTGTTTTGGATAATCAATCAGGTTTAGTGATATCATTGTGTTCAATGTCATATTGGTATAATGGTGATGTGAGAGTAAATAGATATATGATTCATGTAACAATTTGTTTAGCAGCTGGTGGTTTTGAAAGACGAACAGACGGCGATACCTGAACCGTGGACGGGCCATCATTTGTTGTTGTTTACAAAAAAAGGCAAATTGCTGGCCAAGTTGCATCCATAATTGGAATTTGGATGCGTATATATCCTTAATTTGGGATTAATATGGGAGAGGGTAGGAATGGAGCCGCGACTCTATATCTACTAGCGTGTTGCAGCTGGGCCAGAGTTGTTCTATTATTGGGATTATCCAAGACAAAAGTCGGCAATATCCTATATAGATATGATTATCCGTGGACCTAATATAATACTAAGATGAAGAACAAAAGGACTTCTAGTTCATGACGATTAGTACTGTCCTTGTTTCCTGAAACTATTAATAAAAAAAATAGTACTACTAGTTTGATAATCAAGTGGTTCAAGATCAAGTGTGGTGTAGGTGCATGCTTGCTCTTTATTTCGTGATATTTGGGCGAGGAAGTGAGGATTAGACATGGCTAAGGCAAGATAGTACTCTCTCCGTTTCATAATATAAGGGATTTTAAGTTTTTGTTTGTACTGTTTGACCACTCGTCTTATTCAAAAAAAAATTAAAATTATTATTTATTTTTTTGACTTACTTTATTATCCAAAGTATTTTAAGCACAACTTTTAGTTTTTTATATTTGCACAAATTTTTTAAATAAGACGAGTGGTCAAACAGTAAAAGTAAAACTCAAAATCCCTTATATTATGGGACGGAGGGAGTAGTGTATTAACGAGGTACTACTAGTAAGATGCATCAATGATGATTACAACGGGCTCCCGTTTCGGCCCAACGAAAAGCAAAGTAAAGTGGGCCTCGATTGCGCCAGAAGCCCATCCCGGCCAACTAAAATGGGCCGCACGTCAGCCGCACAATTAATTAATGGAATAAGTTCACTTTGGGTCCCTCTATTTGTAGCCCAGTCCGATTTTCGTCCCTTGACCGCAAAACCGGGTACGACCCATCCCTCAACTTACCAAAACCGGGCAAACGAGATCCCTCGGCGATTTCGAAGGCAGTTTTGGCTGACGTGGCGCCTACGTGGTTTGTTTGACCTAGGTCTTCGCCCCACGTGGCATTAACGTGGCGCTTACGTGGCAATTATATCCCGGAAAAATAATAAAAAGTGTGGCCCCACATGTCAGCTGCACACAAAAAATAATTTAAAAATGATGGGGCCCATGTGGGCCCCACATGTCAGCCTCACTACTTTCTTCTTCCCTATCCCCTCTCTCTCTTCTTCCCTTTCCCCTCTCTCTCTCTCTCCTTCTGGGCAGTGGACGGCGCGTGTGAGCGGCTAAGCAGGCGAGCGCCGGTGGCTGCGGCGGGCGTGGTCGGCATCGCCCCCCGACCGGAGTGCCGCGGACAGCGCGGCGTATGCGCGCGGGTGACCGAAGAAGCGCATGCGCCGGGCGGTCGGAGTCGGCGAGCGCCGCGACGTCGGAATCGGCCGGCGGCGGGAGGATGTTGGAGAGCGGGAGGATGTTGGAGATGCGGACGCCGCCTACGAGTTCGAGGGGGCGAGGCTGCCCCAGTGGCGAGTTGGGGGCGGCAGCATCCTCCGCTTGCGCCCTGGGGCCCCGCAAGCCGCCGACGCCCCCATCCTCCGTGCGGCGGGGGCCAGCGCAGGTCAGGGGAACCACGCGGCGCCGGCGATGTCCTCCTCATCGTCCTCCCCCTTGGCATCGCCCTCCGCGGTGGCGCCGTCGCCGCCGCCAGGCTGGTTTCGGCAGATCGCGGAACGGCCGCCTCCACTCTCCCGCCCTGCTGATCGAGGTGCCGGCGAGGATCAGCCGCCGCCCGACCCACTTCGCCCCTCGGATCCGCCCCGCCGTCGCCCGCTCCGACTGCCGCTCCACCCTGCCGTCGTCCGCTCCGGCCGCCGCCCATGCCGCTCCGCCAGTTTGGAGAGCGAGAGAAGAGGGAGGGAGAGGATAGAGAGGGATAGAGAAATGGGAGGATGGCGTGTGGGTCCTCATGGGCCCACCATTTTTTATTGTTTGTGTGTGACTGACATGTGGGTCCCACAGTTTTTTTATCTAGTTAATGCCACATAAGCGCCACGTCAATGACACGTTGGACAAAAACCTAATCAAAAGGAGCCACGTAGGCGCCACCTCAGCAAAAACCGGACACAATACTACCGAGGGACCTAATTTAAACGGTTTCGTAAGTTGGGGGACCCGTTGTATCCGGTTTTGCGGTCAAGGGACGAAAATTGGACTAGGCGACAAATAGAGGGACCCAAAGTGAACTTATTCCTTAATTAATTTAGCCCATTAATACATTCATTAGCTTCTGTTCCTAACCATCTCCAATATTTTTTCCCCCATTTTTGTTCAGTAGAGTGAGAGATCAAGCAAGGTGATCGGCAAAAGGAGCAAACTCGAGCTTCCGCTGTTTTTCTTTTCTTTTTTTAATTCGAGTTTGATTTTGTGGCCTCCATGCATATGCATCTTAAGGAAACAAAATCAAGAGCGCTGGAGTGAATTATGGATAATTTTTGCACTAATTGTGTTTCCTCCCCTTAACATGCTGGTTTTTGTTCGTTTGTTTTACAGGTGTTGTGCTGAGTCTGAGAGTTTAAAGCTTTTGAGGACAAGATGGCCGCCATTAATCATGAAACTGGTGTCAGTTATTCGCTTGCTACGATGATCCAGAAATATAGAGCCCCTCAGCACAAACTAGCTGTCGGAAATGATAATTATATAAAAAAAATATCATTGGAAAGGATTTGGTTAGTGTTAAAGCTCCCCTTGTTTTTCACGTCTATGAATAATTTTGAGCTCCAAACCCCAATACTCAGTAGTTTTCTACTGCAGCAACAAATTCTTCAGAAAATTTAAACACAACCAATTAGATTAGCACTTAATATGCATAATACATTTCACTCGTGCATTCCAATTTATATACAGATGGGAGAAACATGGGTTCAACTCATTGATTTGGTCCCTCTGCTGAAATAAACATGCCACATTATTGTTCACTCATTGTTGATTCTGCTGTGCCATGCTTGTCTGAAACCGGAATGCACAAGTGTTCATCAGAGAGAGCAGTTGACCATGCATATGCAGCATGGCATACAGAGTTTAGATATGATATCCAGCATATGCATGATCTATGATTTTTATATCCTTGATTCCTTGTCTTTTTTAGGAATCAGTCGAGATGGAATCATGGGAAAAGCATTCCGTGGAAGACGAACAATCAATTGAATCTCATGAACTCTAAGATGGTTGGAGCGTAGGCAGTATGTCGACGTTTAATTTGATCTATCCCGTGAATGATCACATGTAACAACAGTTAGCTGCAGCTGAAATGGGCTTAAGACAATCGACAGATATATGTGTTGATTAGGCAGGTAATTGAGATGTTGATTGATTCCATGGAGCTTATTAATTCACATAAGTAGCTAGATTTTGCTTTACTGCTACTCAACTTGTAATCTCTCTGATCCGACCCCTTTTCCGTGGCATCTCACCTCGATCTCGTGCTAGCTTAATAAAGTTGTTCAACGCCACATGCATGCTTCTTCATGTGCATCAAGTGTTTGTACTTCATCAATACTTGCAAGGACTCTTGATTAAGCTAGGCTAATTCACAAAATTATAATTGGTATTTCACTGTTAACATGAATCTCTTTGCTCACCAATCTGAATCTGTTGCTTATCGATCTCAGGCAGTGTTAATCAGTTTGATTATGTCTTCAAGAAATTAAATACATCATGTGTGTAAAAATCAAGTTGGATGCTCCAGCTAGCTAGCTAGAATCTTGCTTCTACAACAAAATTGGAAGTGAAGTCAAATGCTATTAGCATCTACTAGCTATAAAGTAGTAATTTCCAAAGTAATTAACTTCCAAGGCACGATTATTTTGTCCCACATTGCAAGGCTGAGAAAGATGACAAGTGTTCATCGATCAAGATACTTCATGCTAGTTAGTGCTTAGTCTTGTTATTCTTATTTATTAATTATTGTGATGACGCAGTTTGAGGGAATCATGGTATAGTCTGAAAGTCTGAAGTTTACTGTGGAAGAGAGCCCTGTCATGTTGCTTTTGGTGAATGGTGCTGCGCTTTAATTAATTTTATGGGAGGTCAAAAGAAAATTGAAGTGAAACAATCATGAATATATGGTTGAATGAATAGATTTTGGAAGTGGACAGATGCTTCTCGTGTTCGATCGTCACTCAACAATTTGGTAATCACGCCTTAATTGGTCGATCGACGCCAGAATAACATGGCTAGTTTAATCTTACTTAATTTCGGGAATCGGATAATCTTATCGGTGAGCAATATTAGTATACAATCTGCTCCATGATGCAGGATAAATTACTTTTCAGATACAAGCGGATATAGTTCACTGTTGGTGGCAGATATAGTTAACTAGATTAATACTAACAGTTTGGTGATGATGCTCTCCTACGTGAACCAAGGCGTCATCTAGAACAGATTTTCTGAGATTTGGACTAGTAAACTTTACGAAAATGAAAATCTTGTAAAACCAACGTATTCCAAAGGAATCATCGGTGCATTTTCTTTTCCCAGTTACATGATAGACGCACACTCACCGACTCACGCAAACCATTACACCGTAACACTACGCTCGCACCTTTCAACACATGTTCAAAAAGACGGAAATCAGTGGCATATCCTTAATCAATATTAGTAAAATTTAAATTCTGCTAAAAGTCCACATATAAGTGTGATATTTTAGGTACTAGGATTTAAACCCAGGCTTTCCAGGTATATGTTCTTTT